GGCGTCACACTCACTGTTTTCATCCCTGAGCAACGTTTACTTGTCTCGTTTGGCAACTGTTGGCTTTGAGTAGAGCGACTTAAACTGCTGTTTTTCCTCATCTAACTCAGTGAATTAAGGATTTATTTCAGCCAACCCAGAGCAGGTGATTGCTTGAACAGTTGTGAGACTAACAAAGACGGTTTTGGTAAGTTTTATTTTGTGTCCGGCAAAGTTAGGACTGAAGTCTGTTTTACGATGGTTAAATTACTGTATTTGTCTATGGAATCTGGTGGTGAGCGATAGCAATATACAGGCTGTTTCTTGTCTGGTCTATCTCTGTAGTGACCCGTTCCATAATAAGACACTTGTCAGTGACAAAAACAAGCATTTTAATGGACATACTTTGACCAACATATTTGTCCCTAAAAATTGCAGGGCAGCTGCGGCAGCCTTTTTTGTGTCTATGTTCTCATCCAACTCGGTGAATTAAGGGTTTATTGTGATGTAAAATTCGTGTTTTTGTCAATGGAGTCTGGTGGGCATGTGCATATTTGTTTTGGTCTGACTTGCTGCTGCTCTAGCGTGACATCTAGTCTGAAAGTCATATACAGCAACTTCTGAAAATAAAATTACATTAGAGTTTTACACGTCATCACTGTCCAGTTAATAAAGCGTGTCTCCAAATTTGGTGATTTTTTTGAATAAACTGAAGGATTGGAAGTGTGTGACAGTTTTGGAGATACACATTCTTTACAGGAGAGCAACAGTATGTCACCACAGCACTAAACTGTGTCAAATATCCAATAAAAACTGATAACAGTGTATTATCTAAAGTGGATATCTGCTGTAACTGCTCCTGTCTGCTGCAGCCTGTTTTCATGTGTTTGTTTGGTCGTCAGGGAGCTCTTGGCAGAGTTCAAAACTACAACACTTGATTAGTTAATTTCTGGCGTCCGGATCTTTGCAGCCACACTGCGCCCTCTATGCAAATACCAGCAGCGGACAGCGTAGTGTTTGTTAAACTGTGAACTCTCTCTCTCCACAGTAAACAAAGAGAGAGCCGGTGATGTTTAACTAAAGAATTACTGTACAAGATGTCAGAGTTTACTGCTCTAACTGTTTGAAGAAGTCTGCTCCGGGTTAATGTTTAGTGAGACAATCATACTTTCACTTTCTCCAGCAGTCCTGGTTTGAACGGGCACTCTGACACTTAGAGAAAACTTCAGGGGTAAAAAAAACTGAGTGGTTAATGAAACCTGCTCACTGAGACTCAGCTGAGACTAAAGAACAGAGGAAAAGAAAGTAAGAACAATATACAGCCGAAGAAAACACTCAGTAAGGCTGAGTAGTAGTTTAATGACTACCTGACCCTATTATTACTAATACCCTATTCTGAAAGTTGATGAGTGAATGATGTCACACTACCTTTGCCTGTCTGTGGTTTGTTTATAAATCTGGTCTGGCTGCCGGTGCATGTTAACGTGAGTCCCGCCATTTCCAGCTGAGTAGAGCGACTGAAGCTGCTGTTTTTATCATCTACGTCGGAGAATAAGGGATTTTTTTCACTCACATCAGAGTTGGTGATTGTTGAAAAGACTAACAAAGATGCTTTTTATGAGTTTCATTTTCTTTCTGCCCACTTTGAATGAAATTACAATTTCGAGGGTCAGCGAGTTAAATTAATGTTTTTGTCTATAGAGTCTGGTGGGGAGCAATAGCAATACTACGGCTGTTTCTGATTAAACAAAAGGTTTATCTCTGAATACCAATCTGAGCCTGCCAGTGTCAGGCACTTGTAGTGGACATACTTTGTCCCCAAGGATTAGCTAATGCTACATGGCAGACATATAGCAGCAAACTATTTTCTCATCTAACTCTGTACATTAAGGATTAATTTGACCAAACGAGCATAGGTGACTCTTAGAAAGACAGCAGAAAGGTTTTGGTGAGTTGTATTTAGTTTTTGAAGTGTGTTATATGATTATCTGCTCAGGTAAAATGACTGGTTTTGTCAATGGAGTCTGGTTGGAGGCTGGTGGTCCAGTGCAACATCTAGTGAATTTAATCCAACCCTGGCAGTGTTGGTACAACGTTCAGCCTACTGAGCAATCAGGAAGCGCACAGGGCAAATGTATTATTATGACTCTTGAGTTCACAGCCATAAGTGGTGACAATGTCGGCATTATTGTGTTATCAGCACTGAGATAGTAGAACTGAACTATGAGTCAAATATGTAACATCCAGCCGCTGGAGGAAGAGAGCAGACAGACAGGCTGTCTGTGGCACTGCACACACACACACATACACACACTCATTCAACTTTAACTGATTTCCACTTTGCTAGCTGATGAACTTAGCCAGCTAGCTTAGCTAATGACCCCCTGTACAGAGCCAGATGTGTTTTAAGATCTTACATCACACATGAGATGGCAAACAAACCAACACTGGAGGGAAGTTTGAACCTCTGAGATGCCAAAACATCCTCAGCGTGTAGTTTCTTAACTTTGCGTCTGGGGTGAGCTGAGATGTTGCAAGCTCTGAAACAAGCTGCAAAAATATGGAAATGAGGAGTTTTGCTCCTGAAGCGACATTGTGCAACTTGAAATGTTTGTCAAGTCACATGACTGGACCAGTGACCTCTGATTGTTGCTATTCTTAGCTTCCTGGTGCACGCAGACAGTAGCAGTATTATGATCTCAGACTGTGAGAGAACTAGTTTAACTTCTGAGGGAAGGAAAGTTATTATTGATGTTTCAGGTTTCAAAGTGAAAGTGACCTTTGTTTGGTATTTTGTATTAACCTTTGTCAGAGATTAGCTGTCATAAGACTGACATGACACCTTTATGTCTTTATGAATGTTTATTATTGTCAGTCAGTTAACCCTAACCCCATTAAAATTAGATAATTGACTGAAAGAAACTTAACGACAATATTCATACAGACTCACTTTAATTAAACTTTCCTAGAAAGAGCTTCCTGATATTATAGCAAATATTAAAACTTTCCCAGATAAATTGATAATAATGCCCAGGAAGCATTGATTTGATCATTTCCAGGTTGAAAGACGTCCAGATATGTAACTTAAAACTGAGCTACATTCATTTGAAAAGACATTTCTATTGTTTCAACATAATTTCTTCCTCATTTGGATCCCTATTAGCTTTGCAAAGTGGCTGCTAGTCTTCCTGGGGTAAATAAAAAATACATAAAACAATAATAACAATAAAAGCAATTTAAAATGACTTTAAACATTACTAATAAAACAGGAATAGGTTATAGAATAAAGTAAGAAAAAGGAAATAAGAAAACTGATTCTGCAAAAGAAAGTGCTAACCCAGAGAAAACAAAAAATAAAAACAAAAGATACTGGAAAAAGTTCAAACTAACTGAAAAAAGCAGTACATCTATGAGAGACTTCGACTGTATTTGAGCGTGTTCGGCTATATGTAACCTAGATATCTAAAAATATTCACTTTTCAGCCTCATGTAGCCCAGTTTGAATTCACTGTAGCTACCAGACATCATTCTACCTGTAAATCCTGGGAGTCACCTGTTCTCCTAGGTGGGCGGAGCTTACCTGACAGGTGAGGAGTTGCTGCTCCACGCTGTCCTGCATGGTTGGTGAACCAGCGGCTCCGGAGGCTACCAGGCTGCTCTGAGCTTTCCGCAGCCACAGCTCCAGCTGGCCAACCCTCTCCAGGCAGACATGGAGGACACCTTCGCTGGGGCGGGGCCCAGGCTGGGACCCGGCCGGCCGAAGCTCCTCCGGGGCCTGGGACACAAACACAACACACCCGGCTGAGCCTCTCTCCTCCAGGGTCGCAGGTAGAGAGGACAGAAGGGGGAGAGAGAGGGGGAGGGCTGAACTGAGTCCTGAGCAAACTGGAGCTTTAAGTTGAATCTACCTGAACAGGTTGCAGCTCTACTGTTGATCTAAATTCTGAGCTGTAATTCTGTTTCTCACACCACCACTTCCAGTCTCTGTCCCCTGTCTGTCTCTTTCCCTCGCTCTCCTCTTTCTTTGCCTCTCTGCTCCACCCACCTGTGGCTGAAACCACTTCCTGGAGCCGGTGGCAGGGCTCCAGTGACAGCGACTCTTTATCACAGGAAGAGCGAGAAAGAATGACAGAGAGACAGAGAGAAAGAAGAGAGGCCTCAGGCTACAGGGGTGGAGCTGAGACAGGGCAGGGCAGTAAACACACACTTCCTCCTCAAACTGTGTGTTGCTGTCAGTCATCTCCTGTCAGAACTTCATTTACAGCTTAAAGTGCTCCTTTCCTTCCTTCTGCTCCTCTTTAGACCCCTGCTTCTTCTTTTAGAGTGAATTATGAGCATTTTAGTCTCTTTAGTCTAGACTCAAAGTGCATCAGATGATTGGTTTTCTTTCATAACTGAGCTCTTTGCACACAGTTGCCAAGAAACTGCAGAGGATCTGATGCAGCCTTAACAGGAGGTGAACACCAAGAGTCAACAAACCTGCTTTGAATGTCGGAATTAATCACTGGACTCATTCACAAAGCTTTGATGTCATTTAAGTCTAATGGGAACGTACTGAGCCTTCTATTTGTTAATGGAGAATATTTTTGATCAAAATGAGTCTCTAATTGTTTTTTAGGCAACCTTCTATAGTTCTGTTATACTGAGGACATATTTACAGTAACTTGTACCTTAAAATGATTTTAATTGTTCCTTTGAGTGAATGATTTGTGCCTGAATGCTGTGAAAATAATTTGCCCTCTCCCTTCTGTGTTATGTAGGTCAGGAAAACATCAATAAAGTTAACACAGTATATGAATGTCAGTCGACGTTCAATATAAAATATAAAAAATTTTGCTTTTCAATGGCACAAATTATTAATTTAGTACAAATGACTAAATTTGGGCAACAAAATAAGTACTTTTTTTAGCTCCCGATACTTCCTGGGCTCTGTGTGAATATAAATTCACGAATGCAAAATGTAATAAAAATGCAATAGAGGTAAATGCAAGGGAAACAGCAGAAACTGCCAGGTTGTATTATAGGTCAAACATAAAATCAATCAGCCAGTAGACCAACAAGTAGACGGTTATCAGGTAGCTGAACAGCAGCTTTATCAACTCAGTCCATCAGTGAGTTATTGATGTGCAACCAGATTCCAACTCTGCATCATCCACTCCTGCACGGTTAGAGGGTTAGGAGGAGGACGGTGCTTTTGTTTGTGTATCATGCTGGAACCAGGGAGCTGAGTGTGATTTCTATTTAATTTTTTGCTTACCAGGGCAGCTGCAGAGCCCTCAGTGTCGTTGTGATGCTGCAGTGTGAATGTGCTGGCGGGGGAGGCCTCGGTTTGTTCTGATGTTACACTGAGTTGAGAGGGTGTGTGTGTGGTGGCTACAGCTGCTGCTGTTTCTAGAGGACTTCTAGATTTTACCAGTGCTTCTCCAGATGTTGGCAGAACCGGTCTTTGAGACGTCTCCACTGCAAACACAGTGATGTTTCTGCTTTCTGATTTCACAGCCGTGAAGGCTTTGCTCTCCTCACTCGGTCTACATGAGTCCTCTGTAAGTGTGTTTTGGGCAGGTATGACTGAGTCTTGTGTGCATTCTACAGGTGTGTGTGTGCTCTGTGTATGTACTGTGTATGTCTTCAGCCCCTCTGGGTCATCCCCCCTCCATGCAAGCCCACTCTGTCCCTTCATGAGCTCCTGACACAGAGAAAGAGAGACGGAGGAGTAGATCACTGATGTGGGTTTATTTGTATTCGTGCTCGTTTGGATATGTAGACAGAATGGAAAGACAGTAGAACAAGGTACAAGTTCAGCACATGCCATGTAATTTAAGACATCTCAGTACTGCTGCTTCCAGGTGAAAACCTTTTATCTCCAAAATCGGTAGCTTCTTGGGTTTTGTTACTATTTTTCTAAATTTCTTAAAAATCTTGCACGAAGGCAAGTAACATAACTTACTGATTATGTGAGTACAATCCTTCTAATTAAGTGATACTAAACTAAATCTAAATTTGGAGTTACGTGGTTTTCACCTGCCAGCGGTAGTGTGTTAATCAGTAATCATGTCAAACCAGTGCATTTTCATGGCCAACAGTCATTTTAGAAAAGGTAAATTTCTGAAGTACAAAAGCTGAGAGTGAACGTGAATATGCTGATTCATAACAAAGCGGGAATCTTTCCCCACTCTCCCCTGCTGCCAGGCAGTGACTGAGCAACTCATTGAAGTGATAATTACTTAGTTAGTCAATCAACTCTGTACAACACAAATTAATCATCATGTTCAGCTTATGGAAACACAAATGGCAGGTGCATTTAAGCAAGCAAACAAGAGTTTATTTAAACAGATATACTCTGCAGTTGCTGGCAAATATGCTAAGACAGTAAATGAAAGAAACAATCAAAAAGTTTAACTATTCTAAATCACCATTCCCTATATGATACATTATAAAACATGGTTCACAAAATATGTGTTTCTGCCTTTTATAAAAACATATTAACCCATCAGAATTAAGGTCCATGCAAAAGCTTAATACAGACTGTTAAAACCGTCCCCACATGCTAAATATTATCAGTCTGCTTTCAGTTTTTGGTAAAATAGTAACCATCACCCTGCCAACCACTTCTCACATAGTTGCAAATAGTGTGCTGTGTCATCTTTAACCACATCTCAGTGGTGACCACTTGTCAACGAATTGGCAGAATTACTGTGAGGATGGGCGAGCTCAGTAGTCCTTCATGTAACCACACAAATAAACTTAGAAAAAGAATGTCTTTGGCACACGTCTGATTAGATTGAATTAATCTGTAAGAAACACTGATAAAGAATACAATTTCCAATATAAACAAAATGTCCACAGCTCTGAACTGCTGGAAGCCAATATCTGCCATGTAAATGCACTGAGGCTTGAAAGTCAGACATTTCTAGAAGAACCAAGAGGTCTAGGCGTGGTGCTAGGAAACTTCTAGGTTTAACAGAAGATATGGGCTCTGAGTTGGTAGAAAAAGGGTTCTAGAAAAAGTCAAAAGGAAGATCCAGGTCTTGTTCTACAAGACTCTAGAGGAAGCCTTGAGATTAAGAAGAAATTCTAGGGTTAGATTAAGAAGTTGGGACATCTAACACAAGAAATTGGTTTTCTAGGTTTGGTTCTAGAAGATGTGAGGAGTTCTGAGGTTTAATTATAGCTGGGTTCTGTAGCTGGTCCTACAAGACATATGGAGCTCTAAATCTGAATCTGGAAGACTCTGGGAGGTCTAGAGGAGGCCTTGTTGATCTAGACAACGTTGGGAGATCTAACACAGGTTCTAGTAGAAATTGGTGTTCTGGGTTTGGTTCTAGAAAACGCAAAGAGTTCTGAGGTTTGGTTGTAGCTGGACTCTACAGCTGGTTTTACAAGACATATTGAGCTCCAGATCTGAGTCTAGAAGATGGGGATTAGAGGAAGTTGGGAGTTCCAGGGCCTGTTCTAGAAGTTTCAGGATGAAGCCTTAAAATTTAAGGAGATCCAAGGTTCAATCAAGAATGGGCGCTCTTGAATATCCCTTGTTTCTAGAAGACATGGTGTTCTATGGTTGGATCCAGAAGAAGTTGGGAGATCTACAATAATCTGTAGAAGAAATTGGTGCTCTATGTTTGGCTCTATGAGTTCTGAGGTTCTGTGGTAAAAACATTCTCGTTCTATAAAAAGTCAAGGGCTTTGGTTTCGGTTGGAGAAAAAATAGTGTGATTCGTTCAGCACACTGCTCTAGAAGAAGCTTGAAGTTTAATGCTTAGATCAAGAAGAAGTGAGAAGTTCTATATACAAGTTCTAGATCTAGATCTAGGAGACCACACATTTCTGCTGGGCTCCAGAGTCGGATTTGGAGACTTTTACGGTGGAGGCTGTGTTTACCATGCTCTCGGGCAGTGACTGAGTTCTGACTGTGCCCAGGGGTTTTGATAAAGCTTCAGATGAACTTGCTTCTGTGGTGTCAGTGGGGCCCTCAACATCCTGAAACATGAGCAGGGTTAGAAGATCAGTCAGGTCAGTCAGTTAAATAGACATGAAGACAAGGATTCACACAGTTACTGATACACTCTGTTATGGAATTATATTAAATACAGTTATTGACATCTTCTTGTTATGTTATCTTGTATAAACTTCTGTATTGTAAAGCAAATTCAATGGCTCTTATTGGCAGTCTTTAATATTTATTAATTCAAATTAAAGCATTCACCAGAAATGAAAGTTGGCATCAATAATAAAAGTAATGGATATTCTATATTTTTTTATTGTCAACAAATCCCAGAAGAAGATAAAAACCAACATTGCATATTATCTGATTTTCCTACACTGTCTGTGGCACTTATCCTCAAGCCTAAGCCAAAGATTTCAACTACAATTTTGACAAATAAACAGGAGTTAGGAGTGGAGTTGTTGGGGACTATTTTCAGGCATGGATTTGGTTCAGCGCAGTATACGTAGCTTTTGATACAGTTGATAATTTACTGCTTATTTAGACACTGTATGATATTTGGTTTGATTCAGTTTCTTGTAGATGTTTCCAGAATTACTGCTGGAATGCTGGAATGCTGGAAATATCCAATCTGAGTTTTTACCAGTAACAAAAAGTGTTCCACAAGGATCAGTACTGTCTTATTGGACATCTGTGGTTCAACATATATGTTATACAGGGTAGCCTGTGTAACATATACGCTGAATATTTCATGCTTCAGGTCCTGTGGGTTTATTTAGAATGTTTAAAAATCTGCCTTTTTTGTGCACGAAATGCATAGAATTATCTACAACACATTCTCATTGACACTCTCACTACCCCTGTCCTCTTTTTAATTTTGTATTTTATTTTTTAACTAATGAGGGAAACCTCAATGATTTTTGAGGATACCCAGACAATAGTTATTGTAGTAGGATTGATTCATTGTTGGTTTTGTTCTTTTGATTGGATTTTAGCAGACTTGTCATATTTTTTAAAAAGCTGAAAATGAATCATTTCAATAATTCCAATAGGAGCCAATGATAATGTTTCACAGTGTTGAGAGTTTAGTTACCTGTCTATCTTCTCCAGTCTGTTCATTGCTGTGTCCAGTGGTAACTTCAGTGTCCTTTGGGACAACGACCAAATGTTCCTAACACCAACAATGACAAATATTAAAATGGAAAACAACCACATCAAAACGTTAAACAGCTGAAAGAAAGAACATGTGTTATGAGTTAACAGAATTCATTCATCTATGGTGCTGTCACACAAATTACAAACACTGTTCAACACTGCCCTCTAGAGGAAGAACAAACTCCAGTAACAGATGTGCAGGGAGGTTGAAGTAGAAAACATGGAATTGGAAACTGCAGTGATTGAAGAGATGTACTGAGAGAGGAATCCGGGAAGGGTTAGAAAGAGCAAGCAGCTGAGGATGATATGAGGATGGTAGTAGAGGTGAGGAACTCACTGCCAGCAGTAACATGGAGAGCAGAGTGACCCAGGCCTTACTAACTATAGAGTTAATCATTTCATGTCACCGGGATCTGTCATATGGTCTCAGGTGTATTATAAATCTAAAGAATACTTCCCTATAGTTTATTCTAAAACTGGTTATGGCAGGTGGTGTGCTAATTACACCCCCACCGACAGTGTAAGTAGCAGACCTTGGGTCACAAGGAACTCCAAGGGGAAAAAAGAGGTGACTGAAAGGACAGCAGGACAGGGAAGGTTAAGAGATAAAGGGTTTTCCACAGCAGCTCTCAATCTTTGTTACCTCTGGAGAAGCGCCCAGGAAAGCATCCCAGAGCCACCATAAAACACCTCCTCCACCTTCTTCCACTCTCTGCTCCTCACTCCCTTTTTTCCCTCTGGCTTCTTCAGCCTGGAGCACGCCTTGATGCTCCCACTGCTGACACGGAAACACGCTCATGTGCAGAGTCACACGATGAGGGGGGGGAATCAAACATGCATGTGGGACACTGAGCTGCAAGCTGGCCACCATGTCATTGTTAACTCACTAACTAAAATGTCTGTTTATTGTTAATTACCAGGATATACAAAAACTTGGTGAAAAAATAGGCAATGGACCGAAGAAAAGGTATATGCTTTTTTAAATTCAGATCAAGGAATTATCTTAAAATACACACTGCAAAATAAATACATTAAATTGAATGTGTATCCAATGCACTCCCTCAGAGTGTTATCATTTATTTAGGGTCACTTAGCTAGGATGCCTCTAGTTATCAAAACACTATATTTTTTATGGCAGAATTACATACAATTAAAAATATTCCAAATATCTTGCATAAAGTTTCTTATGAATTTCCCTCCAAACCCTAGGATCTCCACTAGAATTTCATGAATTGCAGTTGAGTGCAGTTGGAGAAGTGAACATGAAAACCAGTTTTTAGTGGATGTGAAAATAACATGCTAACCTGCTAACGAGCGCACAGCAAACCCAAAAAATTTTGCTCGATGTCCCACTCTTCAAGTGAAGTAAACTCATGATATTAGAAAAATGTAGTAGTATTAAGCATGCAGTGAAAAACACAACATTTGGAATATGTTATAACTTTGTTAAAAACAAATGGAAGGACGGGTAAGCAGGGATGTTAGTACTGATCGCTCTCCACTTTCAAGACTACAGGTGGTAGTTTGATATTAAAAACACAGGTGATCTGGTGATGGTGATTTCATGTAAATGAGATAACAGTGAGAACACATACGCATTGGTGACACCACTGAAGATCGGACACATACAGAAATACAGTGTTCATTAGTTTGGTTGTTTCTACCAGTGTTAAAACCCAGAAAGATGACTCCCTGGCTTCCTTACCGTAGCGCTGTCAGGTGTCCAGGACTTCCTCTGTTCAGGTGAGGACTGCTCCACAGTCAGTAGCTTGGCTCCGGATCTCTCCAGTACATCCGCTTCAACATGGGCAATTCTGATTAGGCCCTCTGTGTCCTCCTTCTGAGACACAGCATGAAGGACAGATTTATTTAAATAGATTACTTTTCTACTCATGATGACTTTGGGTCTGCACATAATCTTGGAAAGTCTCCTAACCAATGTACTTTAAAAGTTCCAGTGCTACAGATATAGGTACACTGGTTCTAGATTCATTTTGCAGACACTGCTCTTTCTACATTTTGCAACAGGAGGGTGAGGTCAAGGCATTGCAATCAGCAACTACACCGCTAAATGCCACTCAATCGTATACTCTGGTCCTTTAAATACTCATTGTAGAGCACTTTGGTTCACAGCTTCATCTTTAAATTCATTCAACTTTTGTTCAACTTAAGTTGTCAAACTCACCTCAGCCTCCACTGAAGTGGATTTTAGGAGTTGAGACTGAGACGCCGTCTGCTGGGCAGACGGTGCTTTGGCTTGGATCGGAGTCGGAGGCTGCTGGATGAACAGAGCAGGAACCTTCTACAAAAAGAAAGAAGCAGAAGGTTCAGTGAAGACCACTTCATTTAAGTGCCTAACTGACTGATTGATTTGGTCCTTACCTTCTCCAGTTCCAGTAACAGACTCTGGAGCTGGTCCACTACAATAAAGACAGTCAGAGTCTCTTCAGCCTTTTCTGGAAGACAAAGGTCTGGTTTACACTTCTGGATCTCCGCTATAGTCCTCCTCATGGACTGGATCCTCTGCTCAACAGCCTGTACACATAAGAAGGGCATTCAGAATAACAGATATTCTTTAACACTGATGAAACGTATTTCTTTTTTTTCCTAAAGCAAACTTCCACCATTTAGAATTTGTAGTTTGAGCCATAAAAGCATGTTCTGACTGAGTTGATCAGTTGACCAGTTTCACTTGTGATTTTAGTCTTTTGTTGGTAAGACATAAAACAAAAAACCCTAATTTCTCACCTTGAGGCTTTCTTCTCTGGGAGTAGGGAAAGTCTCCGGAGACGATAACAAGGTCTTGATCTCAGTCACATCATTCTCCATCCGCCTGACTTCACTCTCAATGGCTTCCACCTCCTACACAGCGAGAGATCAATCAATATATTTGAGCAAAAGAAAGGTATGAGCAGAGGGGCGAGCAACAGATATCTCTCTATATATATATATGGAAATACAATAAATACTATCTGTGGAAGAGTTCAAAGATCAAACACTCACAGCAGCAGCGTGCTCCAGTTGAGACAGGGGAGCAGTAAAGCTGTCCTGAACGTTGGCCACTTGGCGATCAGCTTCGACCAGTTGTTCCTGGAGAGTTGTGATGTCGCAAACCTGTGACATTTCCTTCAGGACTGAGCTGAAGCCCTGCAGCGTGGTTCGGATCTGTTCCGAGTCATCCAACACCGTCTGCAACACACACAGCAAACAATTCATTCCAGATCTATCGAGTATTTGAAGTGTTTGTAGAATTGAATAGTACATTATAGTAAAGTGCTGCCTAAAGAGAGTGTAGAAAGGACGGACCACAGTTCACTGTACCAACCTGCAGAGCCTGAACGTGGCTGCTCAGACATTTAGCGCTGGTGTAAGTGCAAGGGGCAGCGAGCCATGTCTGAGCCTCGGCCATCCAGCTTTTAGAACTCTTGATCATCTCCTGATGCTCCTGAAGCCACGTATGAATCTGACCAGAAACACAACAGTGTTTTAGTTAAAAACAGGGGTATCAAACTCAAATTGGATTGGGGCCACTGCTGGTATTCTCATCTCATAGGAGGGCTACTCCAGCGTTCAAGTACTACAAGGAAGCTCAATATCTCTAATAATATAATATTATTAAGATTATACTTTTAAATAAACAGCAGTTTCTATACATTTTTATATAATCATTTTGCAGGCACCTTTTATTTTGCATACATTTGTGTTTTTATTTTAATTATATATGAAGGGGTAGTTTAAATTGATATAAAACAACTAGCAAAATTAATAACAATTTTTTTTTTTTTTTTACAATATGTCGTGGGTCACAGGAAATTTGAGACCCCTGGTTTAAACCTTAAAGATGGAACTTTCGTTTAGTGTTGACTCTGGTGCCCCCTGTGGACAAAAGTGGTAGCGTTTCCACTGCTTCACCATCTGATTATAAAGGGAATCCAACCAAATCTGATCCAGTGGGCAGTGGCAGGCATTTAGAATAACTATACAGAAACAGCAAATCTTCTCGCTGATTGTCTTGTTTGTTCATGTAAGTCATAGGTCATATAGAAGCATCAGTATTAAATTGAGTTTTATAACCAGTTAAAAGCTCCTTGTAGTATGTTTAATCAAGAAAGCAAACTAAGCTGTGACACATTTAAAAGGTTTCTTCAATTAAGGGCATTATCAAAATGTGACGGCACCACAGAAATAACAATTTAACCTTCAGAGGCTGACAGAAATGAAATCTTAGCACACAACCAGGTGGTATTTAGTGTAAATGTGGGGGAAGAGAACCTTTTGTAGTCAGAACTTGTTTCCTAATGACACTGTTCGCTAACCAGTGTTGACGAGCAAATATGAGAGATACATCTATAATAATAACATCTGATGTTTGGCAGTGATAACTGAAAATAAATAGTATAAACATGAATTAAATACATAGTTTCTGTTTGACAGCAAACAAATCTGCAGTGACAGCTTGTAATTATGCCCCAGCAATCATAACAGGGAATTAGAGAGGTGACTGGCAGTTTCAGATGTGAAAAAGAGGTCCGAGGGGAGCCGAAAGGATTCTGACCTTGCTGATGAGGGTGGTCCTCTGCTCCGCCTGCTTGGCCAGCTGCGAGTGGAGCTGCTGGACCTCCACAAGTCTCTCAGTGAGCATCAGAGCCTCCTCTGGCTTCTCCAAGTCCTGCATGTCCACCTCCAGCGCCGCCAGACACGAGTGCCACACGTCGAGCTCATCCCACACAAGCTGAGCACACACAGACAAAAATGATTAACTGATGATTTATTGATTCACTATTCAAGATAACTAAATATTTTTTACTTTTAAGCCTTTAAAACAGATTTATATTCACTAACTATTCACTAACTAAATGTTGTCCACATAAACCAACACAACCAGTGATTTAAAACCTACAGAATTATTTAAGGTGGTAAATCTTAAACCCAAACAAACCGCACTGGGAGAGGATTAAGGTATCTGTGGTAGTATGAGTGAATACTGATATTAATAAGATTTTCACAGAATCAAGTCTGTGCTGATGTTATTTGATGTTCCTATTTGCTCTTCTTGACAAAGCCCCAAATACATGACAAAACAAGCTTAAATCTTTATTAGTTTTATAAAAATATCTGTGCTGTAGAAATAACTTTCCTCACCCTCCATCCCTCAGAAACAGATGCTTTGCAGCTTGGAGAAAGGTTTGCTATCCAGCTGCAAGCTTTTGATGGTTTAAAGGCAGCATTACAAGACGAGTGGAAACTAATTTTGGCTTTCAGAGTGGTAATAATGCAGCCAGCTCACCTCCAACCTCCATGTCTCTACCCACCTTCTGAGTGATCTTTGCTTGAGTCACAGTGGGGCTTCTCTGTTCCAGTCTTTTCTGAACTGACTTCAGGCCAGCCTGGATCTCAGACAGTTTTGCCCCCAGCCTGTGGACGGGTCCACTCTTCTTCACCGCCTCTCCCACCTGATGGATGAATCAAACAGCAACAATGCAATGTTTTCTACTTTATAGTCAGGCCTGAAAAAGTCTCAATTTGTTATTGTTCCAAACATTTGGTTATCAATGCCGTCTGCACTATTAATTCTATTAATACTTTTAATTAATTATTTTTATTTTTTTCTGTTCTTTATCCATTGAGGCCTTGGTGGGATGGGGGTATTGGGGTTCTGAACTGGTAATGTTTCATTTTGTTCTGTAAACTGAAGCATAAATAAACTATTCCAATGTGAAAAACCCCTCCCTATGTTACGGTAACAAGCTCCAACCAAATTTCCCATAAGGGCCAATTAATTCTCCATCTTTATTTCAGCTGCGTTAAAATCAAAGTCCTGTGTACCTTTACTTCTACTTGCTTCAGCGACTCCGTGACCTCCTGCAGCTGGCCTTCGATCTCAACCGGGACCAGAGTGTACATGTCCGAGTACTTCATCTTCAGGCTCTCCATGATGCGCTGGAGCAATGCCTTCTGGGTACACAGCTGGCTGTAAACCTCCTAAAACCAGAAAGAGAAGAACTGTGTAAATGAACACAACACAGAAAACCAAATGGGGACAGGGAGAGTGATGAAGTATACATTGGAAAGAGGAAACAAAGTCTGATAGAGATTCTGCAGCGTCAATAAAACAATATTTAATGATTTTCTGTGTGAAAATACCACAAATCCTCTTTGTGAGGAGCATTTCTCAACATACCTCCTTCACAAAAACACCTTTAAGCAGTCAGTGGCACCTCACTTTTCCTACAAGCATCAACCCCAGTGTAATTCTCATGTAACAATTTTAAATCAGAACAAAAAGGACACAGACATCGATCTCATCTCTTCTCTCACCGAACAAACTGCTTGTGAGCTCTCAGTGCTTTGTTTAGCAGTTAGCTCTGTCTCTCTCTCCTGTGCTGCTTTCATCAAACAGAGTCCACCTCTTCAAAGTCCTTCACAGCACAATCGTAAAAGTAAACTCTTTTCACCTCAACAAGATTCTACTTTACAGTAACAGCCGACATTCGATCAGAAAATGTGCTGAAATGTAAAAGAGAATACCGAGGAGACTACCTGGGTCTGAATATGTCCGAGGCTCTGCTGAAGAGGGAGGTGCATCTCGTTATCACTACGGGAAACTGAGTGTGTGTGTCTGTGTGTGTGTGAGAGAGACACATAGGAAGAGAGGGAGACACTTTCTTTGCAGTGGGTCCTGGTGGGTGACGGTTCTTGTGTGTCTATCTTTGTGAGGACCAATTTTAAGAAATGTAGGATCTGGACAGTGAGGATAATTGAATTTTTTTTGACACTTTAAGAAACAAGAGCACATATTTGGAAAGGTTATATATATATAACCTTATATATACAGATATATATATATACAATCTTATATATATATATATATAATAAGAATGTGAGGACGTTTAAGGAAAGGTACATTCTTAACCTTGCGAGGCAGCCGGACAAGATCACAAAATCATATGATCATGCGAAAAATCCTTCCTGCCAGGATTCAATCTATGCCGTTGTGTCCAACCACAGTGGTTCAGACCAATCAACGTCCTATAAGGAACTAATGGCAGCTACGGCATGAGCTATGGCCTGGTTTAACATGTGTGATGACGAGTTGGAGAACCAAAATGGCGGCTGCTAAAGAAGGTAGATGGTGCTAGCGTCAATTCAATCAGAACTGGAGATTGTTTCTTTATCGAAAGAAGACCAAGAACGGAACTGAAGGCTTTTTTCGATAGAAAAGATGTGTTTGCTCTTCTCCCAACTGACTCCCAGGTGGTTCTGCGTAACAAACCACTTGAAGCAGTCAGGTTAGTACATTTTAGAAAAGTCTAAACACTTTTGTAAACTGAGGGTGTTTAGTCTGCCTGGTTATTGGAGGGTTAAGACTTGCTTTTAGGATTAAGGTTACAGTGAAGTTAGGGCCGAGGGAATGTATTGTGTCAATGAGTGTCCTCACAAGTACATAAGGAGAAATGTGTGTGTGTCTCCATGGACTGACTTGGCTACAAAGGCCACCTGGAAGATCCACTTACAACCCAGGACAAAAGGTGTCTGGTACAAGAGGAGGGGCGAGGGTAGTTGGAGTGATGGGGGAGATGTGGGGGGTTGTGAAGGGGGTGTTCAGGTCTTTGATCAGCACGGACCCTCTGCAAGGGGAAGGGAAATGTGTGTGTGTGTGTGTGTGTGTGAGAGAGGAGAGAGGAGCTGGAGTGGATGAGGAGATGTTGGCCTCTGCTCAGGTTTCGGGACAAAGGGCAGAGTGATTCTGCGGGTTGGTGGGTTCATATGAGTGAAACAGCCTCCGGGCCTGAGGCCAAGCCGACGGTTAGAGTCAGACGTTTCATATTTACTGGACACAGCAGACAGTCAACAGCCTCTTTCTCTCTGCATTTATTCAGAGTTAAAGTTAGGGTTAGGGTTTTTTCAGTGTGTAGGTGTTGAGATTGTCTCAGGGTTGGAGATGTCCAGCTGAGCATTAACACAAGTGCATTTCCTGTGCTGTTTATAAAAATAGCGCTGAGGAGCTATAATGTTGGTTACAGTGAGCACAAATGCATCATTGTGTTTTCAGTTCAGACGATGAAACTGTTGTGTCTCATTAGGGACTCATTATTTACACTCCAGTGGCGGGGGGCTGTTTTTTGTTTTATTTTCTGCTACTGCATATCTGTTCTGTAAATCACATTTCGGGTGCTTTTTTGAGAAAAAAATAATGTTTTAAGTAGGGCATTCACGACTGCTGCATTTTATTAATCATCAAAAACTCCCAAAAAATAGCTGACTATTGATTAGTAAGTCTCATCAAAAAGGTTTCAAATGCAACCAGTAGGCGACCAACCTGGGGCCAGGAGATTCCTGAACTGGCTCTGAGAGGCTGCTGAGCCTCCATCTGACTGGACTAAACCCCAACCAAGCTTGTATGAGTTTAAGATACTGTTTGACTGCAGTAACAATGCAGCTGCTTTCTTGCAGCGATAGCAGGAGTCTTTCCTTCTCTAAATACCTTAAATTCTGCTTATTCAACATGGCTTTATGTAGAAAATGATTACGCAAACAAATCTATGTTCAAACACAACTAAAGTTATGTCCACCTCCCAGCTGTATATCTGCCGTATTTTCACAGTCACTGCTTTATTACGGCACCATGCTAAAACTATAGATTAACACTGTTAAGTAAGGAGTTCGGTCTAGACC